AGGAGAGGCACTTGTGTGCAGTCCTGTGTGTAGCCTGATAGAAGCCATGTAAATGTCAAACGCTAATATGTTAAAAAGTTATCTTGAACAGAAAGGAAACAACAGAAGTTAATCACAGAAAGGATAAAGCTTAAATTTAAATAAAACAATTATACATGAGATGCAGCGATAATAATTGGAGTGAACAATTTTACCACCTAACTACAAAGAAGTGCTTTGTAGAGATTTAAGATTCAACATTGTTGTGGGGCCAAAAGAACAAAAACACCAGAAACAAACAGCTCTTCATAGCACCTACAGGTTACCAATGCACTACCACGCTGAGTGCTTTACACAGCCCGGTGCAAAAACAACCTTTCATAAAAGCAATCAAACGATAGCTTCAGGGCAGATAGTTAAAATATCTCACTGTGTGAGATGGATCACAGAAATGTCAAAAGACTACAGCACTGTCATTAAACTGGTTGAAAACTTGCAAAACCAAAGACACAAATATTGAGGAGACATACTCTGCAATGTACCTGGCATAATTTGTATTAAAAGTAGACTCAAGATCTTTGAAAAATCTCTATGCAGGCACATGTAACACATACAGTAGCCCAGAAGGGACAAGGATGTTTTTGTTCCTACATTTATAATAAACGTTCAAACATTTGATGTAAGGTTTGACTTAATTTAGGCTTTGAAACAAAAACTAAACAAGTCTACTGAAAGCACTGATGTGCAAGTCAGCTCGCCTTTCATAAAAACAAGGTTGGGTCTCAACTGTTTTTTTTGTTGCACCGCGCTCTTAGAGAAGTGAAACCGAGAAGGATGAAAGAAGACTGAAAATAACAGAGAAAAGTCTGAGATAAAAGAGAAAAAAGGGTGGCAGGAAAAGTAAAACGATGGATGAGAGAGGCAGAGATTCAAAGAGAAAAAAATGCCCAGCTATGGGAGGATCCCCGCAGTTGAAAAGTAACTAATGATGATGATGTGTCAGTGCAAGGAGGATCTATTGCTAGTTGCTATAGAGAAATAGACACACTCATATACACACACCCACAAAATGAGACTGATGTGCTTCCCTGTGATGCATATTAAATTCTGCTGTTATGTAAGTTGACATAAAACCTGAAGGAATTCATATTCTGATTTCTCTTCCTGCTGCACAAAGATATTCAAAACCCTGAAGACCTGTAA